TTTTGTCTAAACTGTGAAGCAGCATTATATATGCATCATGCGCATGATTTTTCCATATATGGCATTAGTGGAAATATGCTTTTAGAGACTTTTTGGTTGATAAATACGTTTTGCTGTGTAAAAATCACACGCACCTAGTGCGTGCGTGTGTTTAGGTTAGTAAATCACCCCCACAGTCTCATTAAGTGCTCTTTAACCTCATAAGGACCCTTTCGCTGCTAAGGCCTGTTTTTTGCACCCGTGTTATAATCCACATTTTAGGCCTGAAAATTACTTAAAACCCCCAAAACATTAATGGGGTTATACACAAAGCTGCTGAAGGCAGCCGAGTGAATAACCCAGCCGAACTGAAGTGAGCCGAATGCATTTCGGCAATTCACTTCTGGCTTGTACGGCTGATTTCAGCCGTACATCGGCGGCCTTCGGCTGAACTTTGGGTGCAGAAGGACTTCCACTCAGCCAATCCAACATCTGGATCGGCTGAGCCGAAGCTCCAGCAGCTTACTTTTCTTAAAGGGGCCAAACGACAGTAAGTGAATAGCTGAATGCTGCCGAGTGGCATTCGGCACGGCAATTCTGCTTGGTACCTCCGTGGTACCGAACAGAATAGAAAATCAATAAAAAGAGTTAAAATAGTTTTTAAAATGTAAATAAATTGTACAATTAAAAAATAAATAAAGATTAAAAAAAAAACAATTGGGCAGAGCTAGCAGTGACAGCTAGCTCCGCCCAACTGTTTCCTATTGGCCGGCACCTGCTAGAGCCAATTAATAAGAACTGGGTGGAGCTGGCATTTTTGTTTAATGACAGATCAGCGCCCCCAGGTCATTTGGGGACGCTGATGTGTCATTACAACTGGGCGGAACCAACTGTGAGATCACGGCTGGCTCCGCCCAGCTGTCATTTGCAGGGCTTACGGCCAACTGTGAGATCACGGCTGGCTCCGCCCAGCTGTCATTTGCAGGGCTTATATATTAGAGTTGGGCAGAGTCATCATGACTTTGCCCAATCATGGCTCTATATTTGTACTGAGCCCTGATTGGCACAGTCTTGCACCTGACCTGCGGTCAGGTGCAAGACTGTAGCCAATTACCGTTTCGGACGGCGCAGTGCATTGTGGGATGTTCCGCGGTCGAACAGACCACGGACATCCCGTAATGTTCGGCGAACGCTAGAACAGGCTATGTTCGAGTCGAACCTATGTGCGACTCGAACATGCAGCCCATCCCTAGTCCCTAACATAGTTACATAGTATTTGAGGTTGAATAAAGACACAGATCCATAAAGGTCAACCTTTGTGTGTCTGTCTGTGCGTGTGTATATATGAGTATCTGTGTGTTTCAGTCATTAAGAGTACCTGTACCCCTGTATGTTGTGGTCTCTGAGGAAGGTATCTAAATGATTTTGAATGATTCAATACTCTCTGCTGATACCACTGCTTGTTGAAGAGAGCTCCAAAATGTAACCGCTCTAACTGAAAACAAGCCCCTATGTCCTTTGTGGGTAAATATTTTCTCCACCAATTTTAGGTGGTGGGCTCTAGTCTTTTTTAGAGAGTTTACAGTAAAAGGTTTATTGCTGATGTTGCCATCTCCACTAAACATTTATTCAAAATCATGTGCCCCCTTAATCGCCTCACTTCCAGCGTGAAGACGTTTACATTTATAAACCTTGTCTCATAGTTTGGTCCTCCAGCCCTTTAATTAGTTTAGTTGCCCTTCCCTGGACTCTGTGCAGGCCCGTGACATCTGCAGGTCCGTGATCTATAAAGTGGGAAATATTTCCTTTTTAATGCATGACAGTACTCTGCTAGCTTTGTTTGCTGAAGCCTGTCATTGCAAGCTGTTATTCAATCTGTATTCAACTATGACCCCCAAATATTTTTCCATTTCTGACTTCCCAATTGGAGTACCTTTAATGTATTTTCAGCTTGCCTATTTTTAACCCCAAAATGCATTACTTTACATTTGTCAACATTAAACCTCATCTGGCATGTAGTTGCCCACTCCCCTATTTTATCCAGGTCCTCCTGTAATGTTATAATTTCTAAGCCCGTGTCTATTGTTAGTGTCATCAGCAAATACAGAGACATAGCTATTAACACCTTTCCCAATATAATTAATAAACAGGTTAAACAGTATGGGGCCTAGCACAGAACCCTGGGGCATGCCACTCTCGACCTTAGACCAATCTGAAAAAGAGCCATTTATCAATACTTTCTGGACATGTTCCTGTAGTCAGTTCTCTATCCAATTTTTTTCCACCATTTCATCTATGCCCATACATTCTTCGGCCTTCCTCCATCCAGATCTCTACTCACCTCTTCGTAGAATGTTAGTAAGTTGGTCTGACAAGAACGGTCCATCCTAAATCCATGCTGGTTATCATTTATTATACCATTGCCATGAACAAAATCCACTAAATAGTCCTTTATCATTCCCTCTGACAGTTTGCATACTATTGATGTTAGACTGACCGGTCTGTAGTTACCCGGTAGGCATCTTGAACCTCTTTTAAATATTGGGACTACAACTGCCTTCAGCCAATCACTTGGTACCCTTCCAGTCATTATGGAGTCCTTGAAAATGAGGAATAATGGTCTCGCTATAACCTGGCTGTGCTCTTTAAGTACTCTAGGTTGCAGGTTATTTATCAATAATTTATTTATCAAGTTATCAATTTATTTGCATTAAGTTTGTTTAGTCTTTGTTGAACCCTGGTTACTGTCAACTACTGTGGTGTCTTACACACTAAGCTATTCACATTTGCATATTACTGATGTGAGGCTGACCAGTCTATAGTTACCTGGTAGACAATTTGAACCTTCTTTTGGCTGTCGGTACCATATTTGCTTTCCTCCAATCATCTGGTACCTCTTCCTTGGTAAAGTGGCCTTGAAGATTATGAACAATGGTTTGGCAATAACGTGACTCAGTTCTTTGAGGATGCGTGGATGTAAGCCATCTGGTTCTGGAGATTTATTAGCATTTAGCTTTTCTAGCCTTTTTCCCACTTTGACTTCTGTTAGCCAGTAGGCTTCCTCCAGTCCATTGTTAGTATAGTTTTTACTTTGTATATTATAACTTTTTCTCTCGTCAGTAGAAACGAACAAAAACGTGTTCAATACCTTAGCTTTATCCCTGTCACGCGTGACCATCTTCCCTGCTTGTCTTTTATAGGGCCTATGTGCTCAGTCTTTACTAATAATGTATTTATAGAATTGTTTCAGTTTTTTATCTTTCCATGGCATTTTTTTTTTTTCCTCTTAATTTCTTGCTACATTCCCTGTAGTGCTTAAACGCCATTTGTGACCCCTTCATTTTATACTTTTAAAGGACAATGTTTTTGCTTTTATCAATCTTTTAATGCGGATATTGTTGTTTTAGGATTGTCTTAAAGCACTCTCATTTGTCCTCCGTGTTCATTGTCTGGAAGAGTTAATCTCATTCTATATTGTTTAGTAGACATGTAACCTTGCAAAACATTTTTTTTGTTTTGGATTGATCTGGATTTTAATTTCTTTAGTTTTTCTGATTTCATATCCAAAATTCGATGCAGTTATTCGGATTTCGTATCTGTCCGAATTTTCATTTCGGAAAGATCCACAACAGGAAGTCACATGACCATGCCTGTAATGCAACCCCAAACGGCCCATAAAAATGCAGACAAATAATCTATTCAAACAATATTTACATGTCCATCGTTTAGTAAAAGCCGCAGTTTACTAAAGTTGGCCTTTGTGAAGTTAAGCGTTCTCGTTACTCCCACTTTTCTTTGTTTCCCCAAAAGTACCGCAAATGTGATTACCCTATGATCACTAATACCAAAGTCTGGGTAGTTAAATTCCCCATAATTAAAACATCTCTATCTGTGAAAGTAGTTGAAACTCCTCCTCATCACTTATGGTAGGGGGTCCAAACTGTAACATATACCCATCAATGAGTTGCCCTTTTTATTGCTTGTTTTTATCTCTAGGCATAAGGACTCTGCATCCTCCGCTGCATTATCGATGTCATCACACACATTTAATATCAGATTATTCATGGCATACATGCGTACTCCTCCCCCTCTTCTATGTTGCTGATCCCTCCAAAATAAACTGTACCCTTTGTTATTCACAGTCTTGTCGTGTGTGCTGTTAAACCAGGTTTTTGTTATTCCCACAAAGTCATAATTCCCCTCCAGTAGTAAACGTTCTAGCTCTTCCATTTTGTTCATCAGATTTCTAGCATTTGTACACATGCTTTTCAGTTTTTTTTGATACCTAAATAGATACCCAAACGTCTGCCTGGTGAAAATGAGAGAATGTGTGAACAGAAGATAGAACAGCAAGGTAGAAGCCTTGCAAATCTGGGAAACAGTTGCCTGATGCCTAAAAGCCCAATAAGCACTCACAAATCTAGTAGAGTTTGCTTTAAATGGTGGAACCTCATACCTAAGGACATAAGCCAGAACAATCATTTGTCTCAGCCAGTGAGAAATGGTGGAATGAAACCATCAGGAATGACAACAAGAGTGTCCGTTTTTCTAATGTGACTACATGCAGGCAGTGAAGTGAGATTTCCTTTTGATGTACTAGAGGTGGACAGAGTGACAAAAGAACAACATCCTGGTTGAGGTGAAAAGCTGAAACCACCTTGGGAAGGAAGGATCTTCTAGACTTCAACATTAGGCTTTTACTACACCTATCGCACTGACAAAGAGTATTGTGAGTGGGGATCTTACAATAGTATTGAGCCTCACATACACAAGTACACAGAGCAGAAATAACATGTTTTTCCATAACATATTTTTTATTTATACCAATAAATTCTGGAACTGAAATGGGAATTTTGGAGAAAAAATAAACTTTGCCTGAGCCTTGCGTATAAGAAACACCAGAAAGCAGACATTTCTGTTGCCTCAACATGGAAGACATGACATCAGGGCTGTGGATAGCAATTTATCAGTGAGCTCAGTTAATATCAGTGATTTTGATGCTGCAAAGGTTCTGTATGTTACATTCTTTGCCTCATCCCCCATTATCCCTGATGCCAATCACTTCTTTGCAGTCGATGTTGATTTGGTGAGATTATTTTCACCGAGATTTCCTTTTCTGCTGGCCTTCTCTTCTTTCTTCAAGACCTAGAAAAGTTTATACAAATAAATCAGTTGCTGCCGTTGGATGCAGATTCTTTTCATGTAATTTATTCATTTAAAAAGATGACAATGTAGTTTTTAATACAACTTTGATCATTACTATCTATTTTTAGAAGGTGCTATGGCACTGTACAATGCTGCCATCCTCATACTGTATGTTTCAGGCACTGCAGAGTGCAGCAGGAAGTGTTAGTCCCTATTCACACCGGTCTCCTGGATTAAAGAACTCCGGGCCATTAAAAAGATAACCATTGCAGCGGGGCTATCCCCGCACTGAAAGGGTTAAGTGCTTGTTTTGGTCTAGGGTCTACAACAAAAAAGATATACTCCCCTGATCCTCATTTCCACCTGGCTGCTAGACCGATCCCCACAGCCTCTTTTCCCCTGGGCTCCAGCGCTCTAATGATCCGTGACGTCATCACATCTATACAGTCTATTACATGTGAAGACACTAAAGGACATTCCACAGACAGAGCGAGGATCAGGTGATTATATCTTTTCTGTTTTAGACCCTACATTGCAAGGGTTCATCTTTTAATAGCTCTTCTTTAAAATAAAGTAAACGCAGGAGGATCATGTAAATGAGGACTAACACTTCCTGTTCTTCTTCTCAGTGCTTGAAACATGTAAGGATGACAGCATTGTACAGTGGAATAATGCTGATCTGGGAAGTATGAATAAGCCTTATACTTCCCAGATCAAGATCTCCTTTGTTTGAATGTCCCGGTGTTTACATGTGTTTAGACTTATTAAAAAGGGTTTCTAAACCCTCAGCTTTTTTTTTTTTACATATATCTACTGCTAGCAAGCAGTAGATATATGCAAAAAGTGTTTAAAAAAAAACAAAAAACGCTTTAACAGCGGTTTAAACTTACCTGTGTCTTCCCCCGTGACAGTGCTCCCTCCAGCCTGTCTCCTCCTCCACTGCAGCAATGGAATGCCCCTCAGCATACTCACATCCTATACAAAGTGTATCGGTCGGGATGACTCCAGGATCCTTAGACCGCTGCAGAGGAGGGGGAGAGAGGCTCCAGGGACTGGTCTAAGAGCTGGCCATCTCAGAGGATCAGGTACGTATAACTTTTTTTCCACTAGGCAAAAACGATAAGTTAACCCTTGCAGTGCAGTGGTAGCCCCACTGCAAGAGTTAATACAATTTGTAACCAAAGTTCTGCTTTACTATTACAAGATCAAATTGATACACTCAGCGTTTGCAGCATTGTGTACATAACTGTCCCTGAGGCTCCATTTACAATTACAGTGAGGAAAATAATTATTTGATCCCCTGCAGATTATATAAGTTTGCCCACTTACAAAGAAATGAAAGGCCTATATTTTTTATCATAGGTGTATCTTAGTAGTACATGGATTTATAAGTGTTTACAAATGTCTTATAAACGCATATAAATTCATAAAATCACATGCCCATGTAAATGAGGTCTTACAGGGCAGGAAGAGTAGATAGGACCTCACTAGGGTGGTGATGGACATTTTCAGTTCAATAAGCAGGCTGGAGGAAGAGCTGTAAGCTCTGAATAGTGCTGTCACCCTCTGGCTATACATAGTGAGATAGGAATGTGAATGAAACGTGTGGCTGAACAGAATTAGCAGTATTTGGTCGGTAGATCAGTTCACGTTTATGTATTCAGATGTGTATTTAGCTCTTTTTCCCCAGAGCTGTGCTTCACTATCACAGCAGTTCATATTGTTTATGTTACTACTTGCTTTGTTGGAAAAGTTTGGGATGGTCCTGTTGTATTTCTGTCACTATGTTACACTTTAAAGCAGCTCTTCACTAATGATTAGCAGAGTCTAAACTAAGAAGAGTCGGTTGCTGCTTTATAAACATTTACATGCACAGAGATTCAGGAGATAAAAGGGGTCCTTTGGCTTAGTGTACGCTAAGAATATAATTCGTTCTCTTAGAGCAAGCAGAAAAAAAACAGTTTCTTGTGAATTGAAATTTAAAATGACCTCCTGATGCCTTGTGTATACAAATATTATTTATTGTAATGCTTAGACTGACTCTTTTTAAAAGAAAAGTCCTCCAAAAGAACATTGTTTATGCTCACCTGTCCCACCACTCCCGTTCCTGGAATCTTCGCTCTTTTGTAGAGCCAAGCTGCCCAAAGAATCTTCACATTCGACATTCTTAAAAGATGTGTCAGATTTCTGTTCTCCCCTTGCTGTGGTTCCATCCTGCTGGCCCCCAACGTCACTCTTTGTCCTGTGGTGACGGCAAATGGAACCACAGTGCATGGTTGTGGATGCAGTTTGTGAAGATTTTTTTGGATGGAAAGATTCCAGGATCGGGAGGCTGGAGAGGCAAGTATATATAAACAGTGTTCTTGTGTAGGATGTTTAACAAAATCCACAAAGTGACAGGACTTCTTTGAAGAAAGCTTTTTCCAAGCAGCTGAAACCTTTCTTCCACAGCTCCATTCTGCCTAGAGCAAAGAAAATACTGAGTATTGAAGAGCATATGACTCATTCAATGATGTGACTGGGTGCTGGGCCTTGGAGATGGGCCCAGTGCTGTTAAATGGGGACTGGTAGGTCATCGGCCCTTTGTAAGCTTTGACGTGAGACACATGTAACTTACACAGAGCTGTATTTGTTCACTCCCAATGGCAGAATGCAACAAGGAACAAAACCATTCCATGTGCAACTGGGTAGGGAGGGAATAAAAGTGAACCTGCTGCATGGCAATACACAGGAGCACTTTAAAGGAAACATAATGGTAACAAACGTATGACAACTACAGCACCATAACTTGAAAGCACAGAATTGTTGCAGCAGAAACTCATATCATCACCTCCTGCAGGTTTCTGCAGTTTCTCCATTTTCATGCAGTTGAGAGGACCGCCTTCCTTTTCCACAATACAATGCATAAGCTACCTAGCCACAGGCCTTGGCATTGTCTTGGAGGAGCATGCAAATTGAAACCTGATAAAAGGTGATGCGTGCACACACAGTTATTAAGGTATATATAAAGCCAACCCCGCTTTTTCTTCTTTTTTTTTAGTTTTGGATAGCATGGGGTGGAGTTAAAACACTGGACAGGTTTTTATTGTTGTCTGCGTCCCTGTCTGGTCACTGGGAGGGAACATTTCAAAATTTGAGAACAGGAATTGAGGGTAAAAATATCCTGAACTCTGATGAGATTTCCTCTCACTTCCTGTTGTGTAATCCATATACCTCTGCCAGACACCACAATCAGGTCCTGGATCTCTCTGTACTAGGGATGCACCAAAATTTTGAACGCTGAAACATATCGGGCGAAAATGGCACTTTGGGCAAAATGCAGAAAGTACCATCTTTCGGCCCAAAAATGCAGTGCACCCGTGATTTCTCTGACAGAGAGCATCGCCCAGTGGGGAGGTGAGAAGCTGTCAGGAGGCCGAGTGGGGAGGGGATGAGAGCGCTGTGAGCGGTGTGTCACAGGAGGCTGAGCTTTACCACACCTCGGCCTCCTGTGACTCCCCTCCCTGGGGGAGGAGACAGCCGTGAGCTGTCACCGGAGGCTGAGCTGGAGGTGCGGGGGAGGAGTAGGCTGTCAAAGGAGACCGAGCTTTCCTCCCACACCACCGGCTCTGCCTCCTGTGACAGATCAGGATGGAAAGCAGTGTGGGGGAGGAGACAGCCGTGAGCTGTCACAGGAGACCGAGCTTTCCTCCCGCACCACCGGCTCTGCCTCCTGTGTCAGAATGGAGAGCAGTTACAAGCATTCAGCGATTGTAAATAATTGAGGACACAATATGTGTACTGTGCCCCCAATTTTGAATGGACAGGAAGTGCTCCACAAGTTATGAATGAACAGGAACACTCAGTATAGAGGATTCCCATTCATTCATAAAAGGGGCAGCAGAAAAAGAGATTGAGGACTCCGAGTCCTCAATCTCTTTTTCTATTTTAAAAGGGAAATATCCGGAGTCTGTTTAGACCCCCAATATTTCCCAGAGCCCCTGACAGTAAAGTAAAAAATAAAAATATTTCATAAAAATAAATAAAATAAAAATAAATAATAAATAAAAATATATTTAAAAAGGTTAGAATTTATTTTTTCCGGTTTTGGTCAGAAAATTCCATTTCAGTGCACCTCTACCCTCTACACCAGGGCTCAAAATTTCAGGTCATGAGCTACTATCCAGGCCTTAAAAGTTACTAGCCACTAGTTGCCCTGCATAACACAAACACACACAGGGCACAGGGCACACTTGCACAATGCACATCTGCACAACGCACGGGCCACATTACATTAGACATACAACCACATTACAAAGCACAGGAGATTACACATACAACCACAGCACATGCACAGGACATTACACATACACACATACAGCCACAGCACAACGCACAGGACATTGCACATACTGCCACAGCAAAACGCACAGGACATTACACATACAGCCACAGCACAATGCACATAGCATTACACATACAGCCACAGCACAACACACAGGACATGGGATGATAGAACCCTGGGACAGACCAGGGGACACACCGCAGCAATAAAGCCTAATCTAATACACCCTACGTGACACACTCACCCACTGCTCTCACGGTGGCTCTGTAAAAGTGAAACTACAGCTCCCATAATCCTCAGTGCGCAGGCAGGAAGTTATGCTGTCACTAGGATACAAGAACAGACCTTAGTAAAGATGGCTGCCGCCATGCGGCCATCTTTAATATGGGAAGATGCACAGCTGTGAGCAGCAGCAGTATACGGGCAAGTCAACAAAGATCCCTCCGGGAGTTGGGCACTCGGTCCCTGACTGAGTGTCTGACTCAATGGCTTCATTTCCACTCACCCCCACTCAATTTTCACTCGCAAATTGCGAGGGGGCGAGTGGAAATTTGGGGCCCTGCTCTACACTATACAGTAATTAAAGAAGAGCTCTAGGCAGAATAGTTTTAGCCCTTCCAGTGCTGCTACCCCCACACTGCAAGGGTTAAGTACTAATTTTCTTCAAGGGACAATG